CGACAGATAATACTGAAAAACATTAATAAAAACGGAGACAGGTTGACAAATAAAGCATCAAAAAGGCGAAATCAAATGCCAATTGTGAAGATATTTGAAATTTATTGTCAGCGAAAATAACAGGAAAGAAAACGACAAGGAAAAATTAAAGGACTAAGAGTAAAGGCTTGCACTCCTTGTAATTTTCCCTTAAAATAATTCCGTGCGACGAATTTTTATAGACAGGGGTCGAGTTTTTAAGTTCAAGGGGTGTAAATGTAAGAGGCTAATGTCTTTACGGGCTGCGAAGGGCCCGATCAAAAATTTGCAAGTATGATTTTTTTTCACAGCATGTTGATTATACTTTAAAACAGTGGATTCTGTTCCCCCTGCACTATGTTACACGCGCCACTTTGTTAGACTCATCGAGTCAAAAGTAGCGCTGCTGCATTAATTTGTGTTCCTCGTAACAGCTTGTAACTATTATGAATTTGATTTTTTTCTCGCCCCTCTTATTCTTTTCGGATTTAATATTTCGGCGAATTCGGTTTTAATACTTAGTTATGGGCTTTTTCAAGCTGTGATCCAAATTATTGGCATATTCAGCAAGTTTAGAATTATTGTCTAGTAAATTGTTGAGTCATTCTGTGTCTACAAGTTATCCATCCTCGAACTGCTTTTAAGTGAATATAATCGCGGATTTGTCAAACATAGTTTTCGTTCTTGTTGAATTAAATCCTTCAAAGTCGTGGTATGGTGTTCCGTGTTATTTCTTAACTAATAAGAATTTGAAAGGGTGTCGTTTTGAGGGCTACCGAAAACAATTTGGTCTACGGTTTCGAATTTTTGGTTCAATTTAATGGGTTTGAGAAGGATAATTAATACGATTTTGGCGTTTTGAAACTTGTACGATTCTAAAGTATTATTTAAACTCTAATGGCGATTCTGTCTCTTGAGACTGGATTTAATTTTGGAATTTTCTCAAATCACCAGTGCTCTTAAAATATCCCGGAGTTTGACAACTCTGTTGTTCTAGCGATTCGGTGATAAACCTAATCTCACCGTATCGCTGCGCAAAGTAAACGTCTTAAAGATTATAATCTAATAATACTAAAACTGATCCTATTATGCAATAAGGAAAATCCTGATTAGCACTTCCTTAGTGTTTGCGTTTCATTTCTCCCCTCTTAACTGTACAAACAGATTTCTTAAATGAAGTTTAGAAGTTATTTTGGTTGCGTCGGGGCAAATACTTCAACCCCGGTATTATTTGTTTGTCTAATAACAGAGTACTGTTTTGATTAAGTGACGGATTATGCTTAAGCTGAGTCCTGTGTTTTATAACGCGATTGAAGACTGCTAAAGAAACGATCGTCAAAAATGCATTTTTCATGACAATATTTTGAAAAAACTGAAAATTACCAGAATATTAGAGTGGAAGTTCATTTCATAAATATAACTTGACGAGACAGAGACATATTGTACAGATTTACGATTATTACATTTGACGACACACCTAAAGGAGTCTCCCATAGCACAAATTGGACAGTTTTTCTGAAAAAATCCAAACAGTGTTCTATATCACACTTCATTATGGTTGAACATTAATTCTGGTTCTTCGGGTCAGATTAAAGTAGATACACAAAACACTTAAGTAATTGATCAAAATATCTCATTGAATCCAGTTGTTCAAAGGTCGGACATAGTTTCTGCGGACTGGATTGAACATTTGATGGTCGGAATGCCACAGTAGTTCTCCCAAAAAGATATTGTTTTGCTTGATTCGTTTCCACTGGCGCATCGTAATGCTTATAATTTACTTGTCCCCACAAAACAAATCTAAAAGTGTTAGATCGGGTGACCTATGAGGCCACGGAACTGGACCACCTTGAAAGATCCAATGTTGTCCAAAGTGCCAGTAAAAATACTGACGGAAAAATTTGCAGCCGCAGCCACATTTGCTGGCGACAGCTTCATGGGATGTTAAGAGTTTTGCATGTTTGTAGAAAACGTCCGTAGATAAGTCTTGTAAAACGATTATGGCCCAATCAAAAGGTAACTAAGCCAAATCAACGTTACTCGACTTTTTTGTACTCAAACATGGTTATTTCTGCTGTTGAATATGCCATGTTGTGGGAACCTGACTTCATTCGTTCAGAAAACAAAACGTAATGAATTTGGTTGCTCAACAATCTGATGAAGCAAACACTGACAAACATGAGCTCCTGACTAATAGTCGGCGGGAGTCACACCTCAACTACCTACTTGTAAAGGGTATGGATAGATTTTATCATGTAATACTCACAACCGGAAGCTTGAGTCGTACCCAAAGCTGCGAAATTTGACAAGAGCTAATCGAAGGTTTATTTCTGACTCGTTTAAGAAGTACTTCTTCAAACAGGACCGTAAAAGTGTCGGTATCAGTCATTCGTCGATGAATTGCAACAATCTTTTTGTCCCCATAATCTTGATCTTCGGGGTAGCATAGCGTTCTTGAAACATTTGCTTTTCGGTGGCAATTTGTCACTTTATATGCCAGATAATTACCGTCTTAAGCCGATTAATTTGCAAACTGCAGAACAGTCCCTAGAAGTTTGATTATTTAGCTCAGAACCAGCCTATATGACAATTCTAAATCGCCCTGTGTGGTGAACCGCTACGTCTTCGAGTCTTGAGAAAGTTGTTAAAATTTCTGGATTCTAATGAGTATTATTGGATAATGAAATTGAATTGCCATAATGCCAATTTCGTTGACGTGTATGTCGAAACACCTTATTAGAAGTGGCTATTTTGTCTGTTAAGGAATCGTGCATTTTTTGCCACCTTGTGTTAATCAGCTCTGAAGAATAAAGCAACAAAAATTGAGAGAACCCGTAAAGGAATGTTTTTACTCAAAAAACTGACTGCGGTCGTCAGAATGAATAGCTGCTTTAGCCTTATATGTCTTTCGGCCGATTGGTGTTCTTTTGAAATATCCGATGGTTGTAAAAAATCCGAAGAAAAATATTTATTAAATCGACGACAGTTTACGACTGTAATCGATTTAAAAAGCGGGTATTGCTCAAATGAATTTAAATTTAAATTTCAGTCGTTGCTAATTGCAACGCCATGCAGGCGGGTTTGAATCAATCTAATCAGTATCACCAGACTGGTTCAGTTGGATTTCCAATGAACAAATGCAAAATGAATCAACCTATGGCAGCATTTAGTCGGCTTCTGTAAGCTTTTATCGCTTATGTTAACTTCTTTTTATTATAGAAGAATTTTATAATTGTTATTACGTGATTTGTCATACTTTGTAATTATTGCATCAACTGACAGATTATTCATTTAATTCACTTAATTATCTACAAAAGAAGTTTAGCAGGTATTTAATTTTTTTAAACAAAGTGGTTTAAGGGATTATTATAAGATTTTCTTTAATTACAGCCATTACTCTTAATTAAATAATTATTTAAGAAATGCATGTTCTAAGCGAGTATCAAATTATCAACCTATGAATAATTTAATCGACACAGTCTCGGGCAAGGTTTCAACTATAAAAATTTGGTAGCTTGAATACTATATAAACTAGAAAACTATATAAGTAGTAGCAAGTCGTATGTTAGAATCAAATTTTGAATTATCGCTAACTTAATCGATATAGTGTCGGCTAAGATTTAGAACTAGAGCGTAGCAAGACAAAATATATAAGGCGAATAAAATGTGCTGAAACTTGAAAAAAATTGAAAAAAAATGCTTTCGACAACAACCATAGCAAGAAATTTTTAAATAGTGCTACAAATGTACCATAAATAAATCTCGAAAGTGCTAATAAATTCAATCTTACCGAAATATCAAAGGATCATAGGTAGGTAGGAAATCGGATTTCCAGGCATTCCTAACTCAGCAATGATTTTTAATATTTTGATGAAATTTCGCAATTTTACCATATTGCCTATGAGATATAGCATAGCAGTGTGAAATGGACTTGAGCTGGAAAATTTAAAATTAATATAGAGCCTATGTGAAAAGTCCTGGACACTTTGAGAACCCAATTATACTTCTAGTTCATCTTCAAAGAGCTTCATCACAAAAGAGAATTTGAATTCTCAGTTTTTTTAAATCTCAGCATAAAGAAGATTCCAATTTTCTCACTGAAATGATATTACTCTTCCAGACGTATAAATTTGATTTAATTTAATCAGCCTTTCATCCATTATAATCATTGAGATCCGAGATTCCCGCGCTGGAGCTCGTTAAACGTACACTCTGTATTTTATAACAACAAAATTAGCAACAGCTTGTTGTAACTACGGTTTTACAATGTCAGGATGTTCACTTAATATTAATGATAATAATAATAATAGTAGTAAATTGTGGAACCGAAGGTGTTTAGGATGATCACTAAGAATCAATAACTTGCTTACTTGGATAAATGCTAAATTACCGTAGTTTGAAATTTTATATCAAGGCTTAAACTATCAATGCTCTCAAAAAGTCCACGTGCCAAAGAGCCATATATCACGTGAGACAGGGATTATATTGTATTATGTGAAATGCTAATCAACAAGTGGCTCAGCACCTGGAGCGCTGCCTGCTTACTATTTGCAGGAATATTTTTGCATTATTAACGCTTTAAGAAAATTTGTCTCACCTTTAAGTATAATTTTTTTACGCAAATTCGGTTTTTTTGCTGTTGCTGTCAATTTTTTCATATCTGTTATATTCATATTACAACATTTTAAGCGAATTATTATTTATTTTCACAGTTTGCGGTTTTCGAAGACATACGTTCTAGAGAAAAAAAATGGGTTTTGATTTTTATACATAGGTATCTTGCGATCCTGTTGGCAAATTAACCGTTTAGTTGTAGGTATAGACTTCTACTGGAATTTTCAAATTGGATTAAATTGCCTATTTATCGATTTTACAACTTTGCCTTACCTATAGTTTTCCTGTTCATTAGCATTTTAAATATAGTTATACATAGTTGAAGCATTGTTTAAAAAATGCGAGTGCTGTTTTAATTATCAGCTTACCGATAATAAGGAAAAGGCTGTGTCATATGGAGATCCATGGGACCGCTTGGATGATGAGCGGGTCCATAACCATGGGGGTCTCCCGTTTGCATTATAGAGGCGGCGGCATGGTGCCCCAGGACGGCCGCCCAGGGCGACGCGCCAAAACCGCCTGGATGATCCAGCTCGAAGCCGCGAAAACTCACAGTCACAGAAGCACTCGAGTGCATAAATCGCTAGCCACTCGCACAACCACTCGCCCGGCCACTCGCAAAAGTTTATCGGCGAGTCATGACGGTTCGTCAACACTCACTGGTTGCACGTTTGGACACTCGTATATGCTAAAACAACAGGGACTCGTGTGACGACGATCGCGAAGTCACGGCCATTGATAGGCAACGCGACCGCGCTCAATGAGCCGCTCTTTATGGGCGGAGTTTAGCGGTAGAGCACTTATCACGTGATAAATACCCGCCCGACTTGTGCCGCCCACGGGCGGAGCGGATGCGCGCACGGACTGTCTAGACAAACCGAAGAAAGTTGACGCATATATATCCAGATACTATTATGTACATAAGCATACATATTTCCTTGGCCGCATTAGCTTTGACGTGTCAACATGCGGAGGATGAAAAAGGCAAAAGTAAGCTAATATTCATAAATGAAATACTAGACAACTTCAAATATAGAAGAAATATTATTATTACGCACAGTTGGGTGATTAGCAACATAATCGTGAGGATAACGACGCTCACCTAGATTATCGGGAACTAGTTATGTTTTGTTGGTTTGATGAAATTAATGAAACGTCTGCTTAAATAATTAAGGGGCGCAAGCCGCCATAATACGGCTGCAAACTTCAAATAAATGTACTTGCACATACAGCGTGTTTTGAATGACGTGTCTACTACTCAAACTGACGTTTTTTGCTGATTAATAAGCCAAGCGTTTGACGCAATTTTTACTGAATTTGCTGTTGGAATATATCAGTATAAGGTCGTCATACTACATACCATTGGAATTGTTAAAAGTTCATGAGATTTTATAAACGATAGAGACGAATTTAGAACCGAAGTGGGCAAATCAATGTATTGAGCAAAATTGGGACAAATTTGATCTTTTAGTCTGAACGCTATCTGAAGAATGTGAGCTCTTGAACTTTTTTTTCAGTTAACATGAATTTTAACTATAGTTTTTATGCAACTAGTATGTTTATTAACATACCTAGTTGTTGTGACATGCATTGTAACTTATTGTATGTTTTGTATGATACAAAAAATTTTGAACCACTCAAAAACTCTTATTTATCCGTCTATTAACGGTTGCAAAGGGAGCGTTTTTGATTATTTTAATATTTTGGCCTCGAATAAAATATTTGGCATCAAAATAAAATGGAAATTGTTTTGCGCTTTAGAAAATCATGAACGTTCGATAATTTGTAATGTTTCTTTCCCAAATCGTCCCATTCGTTGTCTGTAAAAAGGTCAGTTATGCTCAACTGGGTGTATTGTGTCCTATAAATAATAATAATAATCTCTCTTTATTTTAAATGACCTAACAGTTAAGTACATGAAATGAAATGGTTAATGAAAAGTTAAATCTCAAACTTAACACAAACATAATTACAACCTTATACAAAAGTCTTTGAGACAATATGGTTCTAGATTAACTAAAGATTTTCTGCCTTAAATCCTTTAATTGACTTTATATTCTTTATTTCGGCCGGAAGAGAATTAAACAATTTGACATATACCTACATAATGAGGTGATTTTTCTGTAAGTGAATAATGTGATGGATATTTAAAGTATAATGTTCTAGTGCTATACTTATGTTCAGTTTTGAAGTTAAAAAGATTTTTGATAAAGGGAAACATCAGACATTCATATATGTATACCTACAGCATATATAGTCGTGATACCCAAATTTCTAAAAACTTTAAATATAATTATTACCCTTTTTTACACTATAAAGACATTTTGTAGCATTTTATCACTTTCCCAAAAGATCATCCCATAGGTACTTGACCACAGATTCGAAGTTTGCAAAGTACCTACATAATCTTTAACGAGTTCTCATTCATGTACTTGCCAATCACTCTAATACCATAACAAATAGAGTTGAGTTTTTTATTAACTGACCTATATTACATTATATGACCAGTCAAGGTGTTCATTGATATAAATATCTAGAAATTTAGTATTTTCATTTATATCTAGGTTGTTATTGTTCAAATCTATCAACAAGGGCTTTGGTATGTTACACATTGAAACATTTGTTTTTCATTTGTTTAAAATTAGTCTATTTGTACGAAACCAACATGTAATCAAGTCAAAGAACTCCCCGGGCTTAGCTACTAATTCTTCTAGAGTTTTACTCGCAACAATTAAGTTTGTATCATCAGCATATTTAATCATATCCTGGCCGGATGAGTTCCTTAAGAGCCATAAATAATTGATAAATATAATGAACAAAATTGGACCCAATACACTGCCCTGTGCAATTCCTATATCATTAGATAAACTTCTGGAATACCCTGTTCTTCCATTTTTTGTCACTTTTACCATTTGTCTTCTGTTATTGATGTAAACCCCAAACCTATTACCGCTAATACCATATTTCACCAACTTCCAAATCAGCAAGCCTCTGTCCAAACACCATATGCTTTGGTTAGGTCTCAAAGCATTCCGAAGAGGTGTTCTAGATTTTTTTTTGATAAAATGATTGTTGACCGAAAAGGTCTCATGAATTAAAGAGCTTAACCAGTCTTGTGCTCATAGCTATTTCATAACTTTTTGAAAAACTTGGAAACTTATGGACCTATAATTGTTCAGTATCTCAGGGTCCCCCTTTTTAAAGCAGAGGTGCGTTATCAGAGCAACTTTTAGATTCTCAGGGAATATTCCATATTCAAAGGAGTTATTAATGACATCCCAAAATATCCTTCACTGTTGCTAATTTAATAATGGTTGTAGGTATCTCATCTATACCGGTACTATTGTTATTTTTTAACTATGTGCTATTTCACCAATCTCCTCTGGAGCAACTGGACTTAAAACAATGAATTTACATTTTCTGTAATTTTAGTGTTAAATGGAATTCGGATCAAGGGTTCTAACTAACAAACAAAAAAATAAATACGCACCATTTTTCAACATGATTTGATACTGTTTATTTCATTTTATCATTCACGTTCACCTATCAAACATGTCCAGATATTTCTACCGGTTTATTCCGTTGAGCAGTACAAATTTAAATACTTTGGTCATTAAATATGGGTTTTGTAGTTAGGTAAAATCTATTTCAGGAAAAAATAATGCAAATACTGAAATTCCATTCACGCTTTCCAAATTAAAAATAATCCACCATAATAAAATAAATTGTTTTAATGTAACTAGACCTAAAACAGTAATTGAAACAGAAAATAATCTGAAATTACCCACATTTGCGCTTCAACATGAATACTAGAATATCAAGCGCCTTAGATTATTAGTATGAAAAACTCAAAGTATTTGGGAATTTTCAAAACATTGGGCTTGAAAAGCATCTGCACTTTAATTTTAAAATATGACAGACCATATTTATATATGTATTATTATTTAAATTAACCAATAAGTGAAATAATTAACCAAATTAATGTTTGAAAAACATTGGTAAAAGATGCTTCTTTGGGTGCTTGGGTTTATCTGTTACCACAACAGCGGTAGAAAATAAAACATTACTTTTCGTGGATCAAGGTTTTGTTTCGACTAGACTTAAGCCATCTTTAGGGCCTTAAAATAAAAACAGAGTGGTTTTAGCTTTAAATATAGTAGAAGGTAGTCATAGTCATTAATATCAAAAACGATTCAGTCATTGATATAAAACAAAAGAGAATCCGGTGTTTAAGTAGATACATTCAAATATAAGAGACAAAAGACACAAACAATGTTATTTAACAGTAAATTTAAAAAACGTAATTAACAAAGAAAACTTAAAGACTAATTTTTAGATCAGTGGTTCCTACTGACATCAAGGGGTCCCTGGGGTCATTCAGCATTCAGGGGGTCCCTGGAAATTTCAATCGATTTTGGGGTCCCAGGGCAACCTCAAGTGGTTCGCGCAAGGTTTAATATTGTACCGTGGATGGCCGAGTATTTAAACTCTTTCTTCAGCTTACAACTTTTATTCCACTCGGTACAACTTTAACTACGGAACAGGAACAAACTAACTTCAAAGTTACCGTCAACTTCACTAACAATATCAATAACACACGGAAAACACGCGTTTCCGGCTCCCGGAGTTTAACTTCTTCTGCACTTGGTCGCTCCTGTCACTTTACTCCCCCTGTCTGGTTCTCGTCGTCACTTATATACTTTTCTCCAGGTATGCCAGATAGTTCTATAAATCTCCAGAACAGGTGCGAAACTTCCCGCTTGTCAGTGTCATATTTGACAGTAAATGGGGCCCAAATGGGGCTCCCATTTACTGAAATTCCATGAATTTCGATCCCCCATTCCAAACGTGAGTACCCCAGGCCATTTCCGTTACACTGCCCCCCTTCTAAACCCTGATCGCCCCGATTAGGTAA